AAATAGATGATAAATTAGATGATTGGAAGTTATGGTTAATTATAATTTCAAAATTTTATATATTAAAGGATCAAAAAACGCTAAAGTCGATACTCTTAGTCGAAAATCAGAGTATCAAGAAAATAAGTCGTACAAATTATATGTAATATTTAAGAAAGAAGGCGAATCATTAGTTTATAATATACTACAGCTTATAGCTACTTATATATTGGAAGATAATTATCTCAGAAGTCAAATCCAATCACATTACAATAAGAATGCTACAATTATATATATATATAAGGCAATAGAACTAGAATTTACAATAGAAAACGAAATCATATACTTTCATTAGAAAGTATATATTCCAAGTCAAATGACTAAGGAATTTGTAACAGAATAATATAAATTACCAGTATACAGATATCAAAGAATTACAAGAATATTTACAAGAATTCAAGAAATCAATTACTTTCTATAAATAAGAATAATAATTGAAGAAATTGTTAGAAATTGTAACACCTGTATATAAAACAAGTCATTATGATATATGCCGTATGATTAGTTCCAAATCCCAGATATATCTTTTTAATTATAAAAGTTCATTATATAGGATTTTATAATCAAACTACTACTTTCAAAGGATTCTATTATAGGAATTGAATATAATGCGATATTCAATATAGTAGATAGGCTAACGAAATTTATATATATAATATTATTCAAGGAAATATAGAATGCTGAACAATTAGTATATATATTCCTTAGAATTATAATAAGTATATATAAAGTACTAAATGAGATAATCTCGAATTGAAATAAGCTCTTTATCTCGAAATTCTGAACTATCTTATTGACACTTATAAATATTAAAAGAAAGCTATTGATATCTTTCTACTCATAAACAGATGATTAAATAAAGAGAACTAATTAAATAATAGAAGTATATCTTAAATACTATATAAATTATCAATAAGACAATTGAGTAGAGCTATTATTTATAGTATAATTTGTATATAATACATCGGAAATGAAAACCATAAAAATCATTTTAGTACAAGCTAATTTTGGTTTTAATCTATAAGCATATAAAATCCCGATATTATTAAAAGTTAATGTCGAATCAGCGATAGTATAAGTCAAACAATTAAAAAATCTCCAAGAGCAACTAGCTTTTAATTTAAGATTTATATCTTCTAGAATAATAGTATATTATAATACGAAATGTAATATGAAATCTATACTTAAAAAGGGGGATAAAGTTTATTTACTATAATGAAACATTGAAATCAAAAGATTAAGTAATAAACTTGATTATAGGAAACTAGAATTATTTAAGATTAATAAGATAATAAAAACAATTAATTATCAATTGAAATTATTAGATATAATGAATATCCACTTAGTATTTTATATATCCTTACTCGAATTAGTACTATTAGGAGCGCTAAATATACCATTTACAGAAATTGAATTAGTCAACTCAAACGCTATATATAATATCGAAACAATACTAAACTACAAATATATTAGAAATAAGGTTAAGTATTTAATTAAATAATTAGATTATTTATATTCAAAAAATATATAGGAATTCAGAGAAGACCTTAATTGCTCTAAGAAACTACAGGCATTCCACCTAAAGTATTTATATCTGTCAATAAAGCCTTAAGCTTTGTATCAAATAATAAAGATAATGAAGAATTAAAGAAATCAAAAGAAGAAATATTAGAAATAGATATAGTAATAGTGGTTGCTATTTCTTTCTCTCTATACTCCTTTTCCAATTTTTCCTTTTTCAACCTTTTATTCTTTTTAACTAGATTAAGCTTTTTTAGTATACAAAGATCTCAATAAATTATCTCCTTTTTATATTTACAAAGAAATTCTTGTTGCTTATGTAATCGAAGAATTCGAACATTAATCTCCTATGATTAAGCGAAAGCCTTTTCTTCTTTTAAACATAGCAACTCCTACTATTACTTTAAAAATTCATAGTTTGTAGGTATCTCTAACCTAGAACAATAACAACCTTTTTTATAACAAATACACTTAGCATAACGCTATAATAAACTATTGTTAACAATATAACAATAATTAGATTTAATATACAAATCGTAAGAATCTCTTTTAATATTAAAATACTTAATATGGTAAATTAAGTTAAGAATATTATAAACAAAAACTATTCGTATAAAAGATATATTAAAGAAGAAAACACTATAATCATTTAAATAAATAAAAGGGAAGACATACTAATATAAACGCTTGGGATAATGTTACGGAGGTACCCGCACCGCAACATGGATTATAAGATAAACCTAAGGCCTTGGTGTTGGAACCTACGAAAACAGCACTGTAGGGACAGTTGAATTGAAGGGCAACTAAAGATAGAGGTAACCAGATAAGTAATCAGTGATTAAAAGATAGGTACCTATCTTTTGTTGTTACCTACCCTACAGTGGGCACAGGGTAAACAGCAGTCACAGGTCGGCTAGAGAGCACAGGTTAGATAAGCGGTGGCATCATTACCAGTCACGGGATGGACATCACGTGATCAGGAAACCGACTTGTCGAAATCGGCTTTACGGTAATCGACTTGTCGATTCATAAGGTACGAAGATCTATATAAGGGAATGGGTTTCATTATAATGTAGAGCTTCGTGCTCAAGAACAATCATTAGTTTCATTACTATAGTTACGAGAATTGCAACTAGTTACAACCTTATTGAATTCCTACTTGAAGTCTAGTCTAAACCACCTCGAGAGAACTCTAGACACTTCCACGTGACCCTAGAGGCAGCTCCCGTAACAGATAAGTGCTAGATTAAGAAGGGGATAGTGTTACAACGAATTAGTAATAAGCTGTAGAATCACTGACTTATAGGCTATAATAGTATTATAGGCCTCAGTGATTCAGCTACAGTATACTGGGGGACACTAGGCACTCAAGAAACGCCTCAGGCATATATATAGTATTAGTTATAGGATACCCTAGAAATCTAGAATATAATTCCCAGGATAGTAGGTTCTAGGAAAGACAGAACATAGTAAGTAAGAAGGCTTTACTAGAATTAGTAATATCCTAGGGAATTAAGTCCAGAACAAAAGGACAAGATAGAATAGTAGGAATCATAGGATAAGTATTATATGATCAAAAGCCGATCGATTTATCGATCGATTTATCAATCGACTTGTCAGTCGATTTCAATATAAAGGTTTATATAGGGAATAAATTTCATTACAGTGTAGAGCTTTGTATTTAAGAATAATTATTAGTTTCATTATTATAGTTACAAGAATTACAATTAGTTATAACCTTATTGAATTCCTACTTGAAGTTTAATCTAAACCATTTTGAGAGAACTCTAAACACTTCCACGTGACTCTAGAGGCAGCTCCCGTAACACGTATATAGATTTAATTTAATATAATTTTGTTCGTTTTTTCAAAAGATATTTTTTTTTTAAGTTTGATTTTATTGTTTTATAATTGAATTTAATCAATTATTAATTAATGTTAAGTAGACTTGATAAAATGTGTATATATAATATGTATAGGTAAAAGGATTATTTATTTTATTTTATTTTTTTTATATAAAAAAGGAATTATTATATCTATATATATGTATTATCTCTATATATATATAAAGTATATATATGAGGTAAAGTGTGATATGTAATGTTATATTATTGGTTATATGTTCTGATAATAATAATCTTATTATATTAGTAGATCATTTAAGAATCTATATGATCCATAATCCTGTATATTATTACTTCCCTTTCAAAAGCTCTTTCAGCTCTTTATCTTAATATTCTAAATGATGTAATTGTCACACCCCTCTCTAATTTAATAGTAATAATATTATTAATATTTCATTCTCAACAGGATTTAATAAAATATAATCTCTTTTTTATTTATTTCTTTAATATAAAAAACCTAGAATATATTATATGATGTTTATAGTTATACCTATATAATTTCCTATGAATTATATATATTAAAATTATTACTCCTAATATATTTCTAATCTATTTAAAAATCATCTTTCTTTTATTCTGATCTTTATTTAAATATCTTATAATTTATTAAATTTTTCTAATTATCATTATAAAAGATTTATAAATCTTTTCTATATATATAGTTCGAGATGAATTCGACTTAAATATGCTTTTAATTGTATTTTAAGGAATATCTATAAAAAAAACTGATTTATTTCTAGGATTTTTTATTATTATATATTTGAATTACTTTAGTATAATAGGGAGTATTTTAATTTTAATGAAATTTATATGAATCATTGTTATCATTAAATTCAATCATTTTTCTGAAAGTTATTGAGAAAATTAATAATTTTTGAATTTTTGATTAAATATTTATAATAAAATGTTGAAAATGAAGTAACTAGAAAGTGCTTGTCTAAATGTACGGTGAGAAGGTTTCAGAACTCTTATAAGATAACAACAAGGTAAGCACTCTATTGAAATGGTCATTCTCAAAATATGTAAGGTGGAAGTATACCAGGCGAGAATTTTAAGCTGTCTGGCTGACCAAGTGATTGAGTGGTTCATGACTGCTGATAGGAAGCTACCGACAATTCATTCTTCATGTCCATTTTTCAACGGCTTTGAAGAGTGGGTGGAATTCAAATCAAATAAGTTCTTGGGCTTCTAATATTCTAGGTGAGAACGCGAAAGAAACCCGCATAAGACTGTTGAGCAAATAGTCTCCTTGTGAAATATGCCCATGGATAAATTATTCCGTAACCCTTTCCAGGCTCTGTGTATAGAGAAGAACCCCCACAGAAATGTGAACAAGGCATGCACCTTTACCCCTCTTTGCTCCCACCAACCCCGCATACTGTTCTAGTTCATACGTGTGGTCGTCAACCACACGTCACATATCTGAATGTTGTATTCATATAAATTAGACGGGGTGACAAAATAACTACATCTTGTAGTCCAAACATAATTTCATAGTATCACTAATTCTTAGAAGCTAGTCTTACAGCCCCAGAGATGTCATCTTCTCCCTCTCCCCTACCCCCAACTCCAGCATTCTCCTCGCTCTCTCTCCAAGCCAGTGGCCCCCGCGGCAATGCATGGGGTCTACATGGCCCTACCGACCAACTCGGATGCCTCAACCGTCTCACTCCCGAGAATACCATTGAAGCTGCCAAGGAAATAAAATACGGCATTCGAATATCTACCGACTGGGCTTTAGATAAACCTAAAGTTCCCTGCTTTAGACATTTTGGTAGGTTGTTCAGAAACGAATTTGAAGATTGGCGAGCGACTCATTGGAAAATTTACATAGGATATCAAGACGCAAAGATTTACTTCAATGGGTGCACCCAAGAAGAAATCCACAATTCAACACGAAATGGAATCGATGGCACGTAATCTCGCACAAGGCCCCTATCAACAACAGCTCACTTGCTGACAACTTCTGCTTCTAGTCTGGGTAGAAAATGGCGGCATAGTGGGTCGTGGTGTTCTTCTTGACTACGCATCCTGGGCCGAGTCCCAAGGTCGTAAAGTCAACCCTCTAACAACAATCAACATACCCCTATCCGAGATCAAAGCTGTGGCTGAAGCTCAAAATGTCACATTCCGTCCAGGTGACATCCTCTTCATTCGTACTGGGTACCTTCGTGCTTGTAAGTCTCTTCCATACTCTGACAACACTGATACAAAATCCGAGATTTCTAATAGTCCGGATTTCATTCCGAAGATCAAATGAGATGCTTCGAGTTTCTAAACTCAATTAGAACAACTTTTGCAGATTGACACCGTCAACCCAGTCTACAAATGCAGACGATTAGATATTGATCCTCAGTTTCATTTCTGTTATTTAGAATATTAACGCTTTTCCCGCCTCATCTAGTTGAAGCTCTGTCTTCTTCCGAAGCGGCTGCCCTCGCCACCGCTTCCAAAATGACAACGATAGGCCTTGAGGCTTGCCCTGAAGTACTAGAATGGCTATGGAGTCATGAGTTCTCCGCTGCTGCTGGAGACCAACCCGCTCTGGAATCTCTTCCTTTTAACCTTACAAATCAATACTGGATGCACGAATGGCTCCTTGCTGGATGGGGAATGCCAATTGGAGAGCTATTTGATTTGGAACGATTAGGAGAAGAGTGTAGAAAATTGAAGAAGTGGACATTCTTTTTTAGCAGTGTTCCTTTAAAGGTATGTTGATGAGATCTCTTTAGCACGTTTTATTGCTCTCACCTTAGTGAATTAGGTTACCATTTCATCTTTGACGTGTTGGAAACCAACCAAATCAGGAGATGCAAATCGGTAACCGAAATCCATCTCAATGCCAATACTAACAAATACCAAGGTACCTGGAGGTGTTGTGAGCCCTCCAAATGGGGTTGCTATTTTGTGAGGGATTAATGTATTAGAAATAGAAGTACATGTATTTCCAATTCTGGCAACATGCTTAAGTCATTTGATTTGGTCCTGTTCATGTGTCGGGAATTTTTCTTGGAAATGCGAGATAAAACTAGCTTATGATCGATCTCATCCATGAAATTCAGCAAGAGACAGTACAACGTAAATAAGAACTATCTTAGAAGTAAAACTTTATAATAGTGAATGAATGGCAGAGAAGCTCGTTCTAAGCTTAATGTAGTAAAGAAAAAACGGGTATCTATATTTCCGTGAGAGTGATTATAATCTACACTAATAATGTCCAATCATTATACACCATGCATCGCGTTGGGTTGCGCTGAATCTATTCAGAAAATCCCCCTCTATTATGAATGTAGGTAACTTATAATAAGATTGCCATGCCAGAGAATGTCTTATTAGCTTGGAGAAACGTCGATTGGGTCCGTCACGAACCGAGCCTCCAAAGCATCCCGTACTTCGAATTCCTCGAGTGCGGCCCCAAATCTACAATTGTTAGCTCATTCAGACTTCATATAAAGACAAAGAAGCAAGCACACATACCCATAACATCTGACTTTAGGTAACAGCTCTTCACTCATGCTCTTCAGGTCAACATCCGTTAATTCTAGAAATCGTGGATGTCCCAAAACCATACCCCATGCCATAACCGGTGTAATCTCTCCATTCAAGTCTAACCTCTTACTCAAATCCAACAAATTAGCTAGATCGCTCTTGCTCAAGTCCCACGTCTTCTGTTTTGGAGGACCCCCATTCATTCCATCTGATTCATGACTGTGCGGCAGGCAGTGCCCAAAAGGTATATCTGGATGCATCTCCATATCTGGTTCTGGAGGACAAGTAGCCATTAGAGCATGGCCAGAGAAAAACTCTCCATCAGCATCGCTGGATCGTTCGACTAGAAATTGCATGTGGTCCATACAGGGTCTCTCGAGTCTGATATCAGTATGTTGCCGTTAGCTATTGTCGGGGAGGCGATAAGAACGTGCTGGAGGAATCTTTGCCATACGTTAAAACAAAGTCAATTCCTGCTTGATCATAATCCACACCTTGAATTTGTTGATGCGCCATGCTGCCATCGTAAAATCGGTGCGCTCCTCCCAATTGAGGGGATCCAGCATCGTAACAGGTACTGTTTGGGTTTGAATTCGAAGAGTGGCTTAGAGGCGGAGGACTGAATGATAAGGAGCCTGGCGCATAACTGCCGGCCTGACTATCACTCGATTTGTATCCTATACTCGAATTATTTGTGAATTCGTCGACTCCTCCACTGCCATTCCACGATATACCATGTTGTGCGAGAAGTTGCTTTAATTGACGATTCTCTTCTGCGAGGGTCTGTTTGCTTTGAGTGACGCTGCTAAAATTTTCTTTCAATCGAAGTACTTCTTGCTCCAGGGCTTTGATATATAATTCCTTGCGCTCTCGGTGGGTTCTAGGAGGCATTAGTAAAAGTCCAAATCCTATTTCTCATACCAGTATACCTCTGAGCTTGTCGATTTAATTCTTGCCTTCTTGTTAAAGCAGGTTTACTATCGGGTTTGGGTCCTCTTCTTTTCGGTGTCGAGCCGTCGACTGTTCTGAGATTTAGTTTCCAATGGAAATAAGTTGAGATGAATCTTGAGTCATACCCCGCGTAGATTTCTTTTCTGTGAGGCCCTTGAGGAAACTCAGACTTGACGAAAGAGGAGATTTTCCTGCTTCTGATTGCCCACTGCCATAATCGCCTCTGTCCGATTTGTTGGCATAATCGCAGTTCTCGGTTTCCGCGGTAGACATCGTAGAGATGATTTGATGATTGAGGAGAAATCAAAGATATGCCTATCTTACCAGCGTTTTTGTAGATCTCAAGGCGTGCGCGGAGAAGCGATGAAGGGGCGAGGTTGTCGCAAGTTGGATATCGATTGACTAGCAGCGTGGCATACCTACAGTGACTCGATAATATCCTCTGGAATTGGTTGAACAATTATTGATTGTGTTAAACCAACAGTTTCAATCTTCAATCTGGATAATGTCCGCGGGGCTGTGAGCATTCGAAAGACAAATTCAATGATTGGCTTGATCGAAAGGACGGGGGCAGATAGATGTGTCTCCGTTATGATGTAAGGTTGAGTAGCTCTATATTGACTTTGCGATGTTTGGTCGACGCGATTAATAATAAGTCTCTCTCTTGAAGATCATTGAGGGCTTTTGGGCTTAAACAAAGTCAGCAATTCAGGAAATAAGTCAAGAATCAAGAACAAATACGCAAACGGCAGCCGCGCACTGGCTCTCGAGACTGGGAAGGTACTAATAATAACTACGAAGTACGAAGGTACAGAGTATGCTCGTTATGCTTACATACTTCGTAGGGACATATGATCTCTACCTGGGTAGATCCACTATGGGAACTTGGACTGTGCTGAAGGTCTGGCCAAGGTGTTCGTATTCCATAAGAAACTTTGGATAACTTATCGTGATTAAAAACTTTAAGTGGTGGCTAATTCCGACAATGTACGTACTCGAAGGGCCGAGAGAGCTCGTGGTTGTATTCGGCAGCAGTTTGTCCTCGATGCATATAGTATATAGTCAGACATCAATATCCGGTAGAGATCATCCAATATATACCGACAGGGCTGAGAGTTCAAGGAGGGGTCGGAATGCAGAATTGATCTTGATGCGTATGATATGATTGAACCCATTACACACTCCCAAGAATCCTGAACGGCTGAAAGGGGAGGGACATTGAAAGCCAGTCGTTCCGGCAGGTGCCATTCATTCCGCTGTTGAAAAAAAGTGGTAAAGTTGGTGTGGCGACCACTTCGACATAGCCTGGGCGTACGGAGTAGTTTTAAGCTTTAGGTACAAGTTAGGAACAAGTTTGGGAGATGCCCGGTGAGCTCTAAATTTCGATCGATAATTGTACGTGAGTTCGAATCATCTATCTCCGGTTAATTGGATCAAAGATGCTCGCTCACATTATTCAAAAAACTACTATTGATCGCCCAAATTTCGGAATAATATTTCCTTTTTTTATGTGTAGTTTTGAGTGGTGTAGCTATCGATTCTACATCCCGTCGAAAATGCAAAGATGCTCGCTTACGTTGTCTATAAACTATCCATCCTCGCCATCGCCCTCATTTATCAAGTCTTGACCATGATTTTCTAAATTCTAATCGAATGGTGGATTGACCAAGTATCGTATCTTCATACTTCGTCTATACAACATCTCTGACTGACACCACATTTCTTAACAACATCGATTCCCATCGGCCCTCACCTCTCACGCGACCGATTTCAAATCCCCATAAATGCACCTCCTCCTCCACAAACACTCAAGCCAAGGTTGTGGAACTGGTTTGAACAACGCTTGGTTATTTGTGATGCCCGTGTGCTGAGCTCCATATTTCCATGAGTAAGCAGCGTGTAAGTCAGGAATGAGGTTTGAATTTCTCTTCTGATGTGCTGTCTGCCCCTCACTCCTCGTGTATGAAAATTTAAGACGGCCACAATGAGTCTCGATGTTGTATACACGAGCATTCGTGGATTTCTCATCGTGTTACCATGGGCCCTCGAATTGGTCCTCATGGACCTCATAATCTCTTTCCTCTTACCCGTCAGTTATTTTTTCCCTAATTGGGTATATAATGCGTCATCGTTTGTCGCCTTTACAAACTGGAATTGGATACAAGTCATATTTGAGGTTTTCAACGGAGGCAAGATTACCATTTCTGGCGACACTCTTCCGGAAGGCGAAACCGCGATTGTCATTGCAAATCATGTCAGTTGGACCGACTTCTATATGATTCAAGCACTTGCTATCAGAGCTGGCATGCTTGGAAGGTGTAGGTGGTTTGCCAAGATTGAATTACGATGGGTTCCATTACTTGGATGGGGAATTTGGGGTATGGGTATGCCCATGGTTAGTAGAAATTGGCTGAAGGATAAGAAAGAGTTGGATCGAGTTTTTGCAGGAGTCGTTGTAAAAAAATGGCCACAGTGTAAGCTTTGCGTACCATCTACCCCCACTCAAGGTAATTTGGTAGTGCTAACTCATCTATCATCCAGGGCTCATCAGCTTTAGTGAAGCGACACGATATACACCTAAGAAATACGAAGAAGCAAAAACATGGTGCAAACAAAACAATCGACCTCTCCCCAAACATCTTCTGTATCCACGAACCAAAGGCTTCGTAACAACTGTGCAGCATCTGCGAAAGGCTGAACATGTCAAGGCTGTTTATGATATGACGATCGCATATTCACATCATAACAAATGGCATCAAGCACCAACTATTTGGGAATCTCTCAGTTGCGGTGACCTAAGTGGAAAACGAGGATACAAATTTCATGTTGAAGTCAAGCGATTTTTATTGGAAGACTTGCCAGAGACCGACGAAGGATTGGCAAAATGGTTGGAAACTAGATGGATAGAGAAGGGCGAATACTTGGAAGAAAAGAGGGAAGAATGGTCCAGAGTTGGTAACGGACATAAGCCAATCACGGCATAGTTGTCGCAGCAAAATTTTTTCTCTTGTTTGGGATATCTAGCTGGAGTAGACTACTAGTAGACGAGCGCATCTGTTGCTTTCTCTCTAGATTGGATTCACTCTAGTGTCTGAGATTACTTGTAATGTTTTTGCTTGCAAAACAATTGTGGAATAATCTTTAGAGTTAGACAGGATGAGAAGCATTCCTTTGTTCCCGCCAACACCAAATCTCGAGAACATTCCCCTCAACTCCCGCACGCAAATTAATTTTCCGAGCACAAAGAAAAGTGCTTCCAAAGCATTTCGGAATAGTGCTGCTTATTGTGTACTAAAATTGGAATAAATTACAAGTTAACAAAGATATCAATCCTTCGCGCTCAATTCTGAAGACAATCTTATAATTCCCAATGAATCAAATATGTCTTTTCTCATTTCCATTTTCATCCAATTCCCAATCTCGATCTTCTCAAGGATCTCAGCCATCGTCGATGACAACCTCAAACAGTATACCGAGATAGTCAATTGACTTCAGCACATTCTCAAGCGATGAATCACCTAACCAAAATACTCCATAAACATTCTCATATATTGGAGCAAGACAAAATGCCAACAGGCGCTCTTTCAATAACCATCCCCGACACACCCACTACTCCAACAACTACTACAAAGCACTCCGCTACTCGCCCAACTTTCCTCCCTACACTCGCTTGGTGGAGACTTTTTCCAAGGCCAAGATTTCCGAGCTATTATTCCTCGAATGATAACACTCACGGGTATAGAAATGATACTCATGACGAAAATGGAAGGATGACAATGGAAGAAGGTCTATTGAGCGACGGCGAAAGAGAAGATCTTGATGGGATGATTCCTAGAGTTGGCATGCAAAGTGACTCAGGTTCCAGTTATTGGAAACGGGTCAGTGGTGAAGGGCGGAGGATGGGAAGGTTAAGGCTAGTAGTGGAGATATTGGGTGCTGTGGGAGTTGTTGTTGTTGCAGTTGTTGGGTTGGTTCTTTTAGTTTTTGGGTAGCAATAGGAGAAATATATACGAGGCTGCAGGATGTGAGTTGAAACGTGATTAAAAAATGGGAAAAGAGGATCGTGAATCCAGTCAAGGCTCTGATATATGATACAGCATTCCATATCTGTACCTCGAACACCTATGTATAAATTGCTTGAAAGAAATGAGTTTTCATTGGAGACCGTAGAGTGACAAAACCTCACTGTGTGGTTTGGAGGATTCAGAGCCATCGTTTGGTTCTCAATATTGCGAAGGACAAAGGTTCAATTTCGTCGCGTTGGTCTGCATATTAGCATGCTTCTTAGTATTAGAAAGGAATCAACAAATCATATGATTTCAACTTTAAGCTCAAAGCTTGTGAACTCCAAAAATTGACCGTCGTCTAAGTTTTGTGGTGTGACTGGAGTTATGCGAGCAATGGAAACATTATTTCCTGATACGCGTTAGCGTAATCTATTCATCACCACTCTTCGCTATATTCAAACAAAGTAAGCACCTTAAATTCTCAAAGATGCTTTGGAATCATTGTAGGATAGCCATTTTATAATGTGGAATCTTCCCATCACCACGCTATGCATACACAAGATGCCAATATCGAGAGCAAACCAGCTTCTGCAGCAAGAAACTTTGGAATCAAAATAACTTAATGCGATCTTCCTCGAAGAAAAACTGATTCAAAAGAGTAAGATCATCATCAAACGACCAGGTTATGGAAACAAATAACTCTATGGAGTAAGTATCGAAACCATGCAAGCTGTTAAAACTCAGATAAAAATCGCAGGGGTGAAAAAGCATTTCAGTGTGATTTGGGTGGATATATTAAATGACATCTACAGGACCTTCCTTTGGCAATTCTTTTCATCTTTAGATTTAAATTCAGCTGTGGAGTCTTGTCCACAATCAACGTTTAACGCAAGTCGGCACAATTTGAAAGGTCATATTCTCGAGACTCTGAATCCTTTTCGGTATCTCAAATCATCCTGCACAGTTCGGCACTTCAATAATCGCCTCTGCATCTCCCCTATTAGGATCAATTTTGCAATATATTAACATACCCAAGGCCGACCCTGACCATGTATCTCTTCCAGACCTTTCTCCTTACTCCCATTGTTCTTGCAGCTTCGATGATCACTCGACATTATTCTCGAGACGCAGCAGCATACTTTCTTGACAATAATCCCAATGGCTCAACCATTATTGCTATGAAGATATCCCGAGAGAACGGAACTCTTTCCCTACCCACTCGAACTTCTACTGGAGGAAAAGGAATGCTCGGGTTGATTGCTCCAGCAGCAAATTCAACCACAGCCCCTGCTCCTGGATTTCAAGGTGTGAATCAAATCTAATACACCACAGAACTGATCTTCATACTTACTCTAGGATGTAGATACTTTGTTTAGTCAGAACGCCATAATAGTATCAGGAGATGTAAGAAAATTCCAAAATATAAGAGAATTCACTCACAACTGTGACTGATATCAACTAGAAGCTCTTCACTGTCAACACTGGAAGTAAAACTTTGGCTATGTTCTCAATCGACTCGAACGATTTCTTACATCCGCGCATGGTTGGTAGACCGGTGGATACTATGGGAGAATTCCCTGTCGCCGTTGCTTATTCGCCAAAACTCAAGACTGGTGAGTCCTAGAGACCTCTTGACAGAACACTTCATCTACGATGGCCAATTGTTGACCAAACCTTAGCTTGCGTACTAAATGGCGGTGCTGTAGCAGGAACATCTTGCTTCTCAGCTCATTATAGCAAAGGATTATCGGCCGTTGGATCTCTCCGTGCCATTGCCTTGAACCAGTGCGCATCACTCTCCCTCCAATTCCCACTCATCTAATCTAATTATATAGAACAACCCCACCCGCCGGACCTGCCGGGACTGTTTCGGATCTTCTCTTCAACCATTCTCAAACAACCCTCTTAGCGTCTGTAAAAGGTAATGGGTTTGCTCCAGGCTCGTTCATCGCCTATCCTGTCTCCCAAAACGACAAGAGAATTTCCAGTACCCCTATCATCTCCGAGCCTCCACAAGTCCGCTTGAACTTTGGCATAAGTTTTCTCGGCTCTGACCATCGACTTGCTGTCTCAGATCCTGCGATTGGCGCATCGCTTGTTTCTATGTCGTCATCTTCTATTGCAACGGCAGATGTCCCGATTACTGTTGCTGGAGAGTCAGCAGTTTGCTGGATAGAATACAATAAGAAAAGAGGAGAACTTTATCTGATGGACGTAGCGGTTTCTAATATCACAGTTGTAGATGCGAAAACGGGGGCAATCAAAAAGGGGATCCAGCAAGATGATGCGGGGCTGGGAAGTGTGGACGCTAGGCTTGGAGGAGATTTTCTGTACGTACTGAAGAGTGCGTCGGAGATCAATGTTATCAAGACGTCAGGTGGAAAAACCGTCCAGAGACTCAATTTGACAAATTTGGGAAGTAGACAAGGGTTTGTGGGTATGGCGACTTGGGGGTTTGAACAAAACTAGGGGTGGATAAGCAAGAGACGGATTGAGGTGTTTAATGGAAATGGTATGACTGTTGATCAATTTATCTTTTAACTTGAGATATCAAATTCTGGAACTCGCTGGACTGACAGCAAGAAATTTTAAAGATGGTTTGTCTTTGAACTGCTCATTTACCCCTTCATTTGGTCCGCTTAGATGAAGTGAATCTAAAGAAGCCAGAAATCAAAATGCGGAAGAGCACTTAAGCACATATTCTAGCCTCGAAATTTATCTTCACTCGAAAATCCATTGAATTGCAGATTTGATTCTAAATTTATTTTTCGATAGGCTTCAGGTATGCAGGCCGAGGCCACCAGCCAGCACTTCAAAACACACAGACCACTCTGGGTTTCCAGGGTAGGTGCTACCATAACCCCATGAATCTTAATAAGATTACAACTTCAGCAGAAGGTACCAGAAATGATGCAAGATTCGTACTGTGATAGACTTCCCTTCTATTCATTCTATAAATACCTGTAGGTATCTGTTGAATACAAGAAAGGTCTAGAATTTTCGATCGATTCAACGTCTTGGGAATCCGAAAATAGAGCAGCCACCAGTGATCAGTTCAGGGATTCTACTCTACTCCGAACTCTTCCTCCAATGTCTCAAAGCGACATCATGTCTCTCACATGAAGTTTCGTGTTTGATGGCTTTTTGAAGTAAAAGGCAAAGGATTATATGATTCGGACTTCGGAATCAATTATCAAAGTATTAAACCGCGTGTGTGTCACGTGTATCCGAACCTGTTTATCTGCTTTAAGCTTCCGAGGATTCCGGAATCAATATCCCCACGCAGAGTAAAGAACTTTCGTATCCTCTCTTCTGTTTGTTTGCCAACAAGTCCCTTGTCCCTGAGAAAAAACAAAATATGCCGGTAGCTTAAATGGCTCTAACGCCGTATAGTAAATACCTTGCTCCCGAACAGATGGAAGTGGAAGGGAATGAAAAAATAAAATATGTGATGAGTCCAACAAATCAACGCGTCCAATTCGTCCAAACCTTGACATCGCCACAGGGTTTAGGATGATGAGTTGGTTGTGTTGGTTGGTTGGTTGGTTCGTAAAAAGACCTCACGTACTCGAGTAGGTATAATTTCTATCCGCTAGAAATCGATTCATTTTCCACCCAACTTTGAATCTTCATCTCTCAATACAATCAACACAAGACACTGCCATTTTCAACTTCTGCATCACTTAGACCAGGTACCATATCATCTCCTGTGGGCTGCACAGATCGTCCACAATTGCCATACATACCTCCCTCCTTACACTGACAGCAAGCCACAACCTCGTATTAGACTCGGATTTACGGGTATCAGATGAATTAAACCTAGCAAGTCGATATACTACATTTGTGGTTGATAGGTTCAACAAGTAGCCGTGGACATCCTTTACCCTTTGAAGATCTTTCGCACATCAATCCCAAGTCCAGCTTTTCCCTCACTCTCGTTCATTTAAGCCATATCATACCAGACATTTGAATTCAATCTTCACGTTTTAACGGTTTTTATCTTAGTTGGTAAGTCAATATAGTGTACGCGAGTATGTGCTAGCGACTCTTCTATTGTCAATTCCCCTCTAAATGTTTGTTTTGGCGGGGTGTTTGAAGAAACCCCCAGCTTTGGAAACGACATGAATATTGTCAATTTGCTAACAGCAAGCTAGATCCAGTCCTTTCAAAAGACCGCGACATCCTCACATTACCACAATCAATTCATACCTACCTCTCTCGACTTTTCTTCATCGGTTCCATCTTGTAACAAACATTTCAATTTCGCAAAAATGCTTCAGACCCTCGTAATTGTGCTCATCTGCATCATCGCCGTCATTGTTTTGATCGGTCTAGCCGCATTGATCAACACGGGATCGAAGAAGACGGGACCTAATATTCCTGTCTAAGATGTATAATCAGGAGCAAAACGACAACAACATCCTTCAAATGATTCCTCTCAGCAACGACTGTTTCCCAAGTGAAAACCAACTCTCCCAACCGTTTCCTCATTTCTCCCTTCACATTTCGATCTCAAGGCATGATGATCATGATCATATGCCATACATCAATCTTCTTCGTTCAGCGGCCGTCACGATAATATGTGGGTAACCAAGTGCGAATATATTTCTAGGGTTCTGGGTTGTTGGAAATAATGGCGTCAACAATGGATATCCGGCGCGCTTTATGTCCAATACGAAGATTGAGAAACATCGTATCTTCATTTGCATTTGGGGGACTGCTGGATGAATCCTTCCGACTGGATGTCGATTTCTTCTCCAGTGTGGGATATGTAAAAATGTTTAGCGGACAGATTGCTGCATGGCTGGATGGCTGGGCGAGTTTGAATCCCAGCATACATCCCAAGCTCATTGAGCTCCATGATTGTGCTTCGTTCGAAAGATTCGTCAAGAAGAATTGATGAGTCTGAGGGCAAGGGCATTAACAGATTATGGAAGCATTGGGGATCGATCGATATATGAATGGATATGCTGTACATGATGAAATTTTCATCATGAAAAGATTTTCCCCATCTCTTCCTTCAACCTTGACTATGGAACCGACTGCTTTTTTTAAGAAAAAAGAGAAATCCTCCAATGAGCCAATAACATTCAATTTTTAGCATTCACTTGCTTGAAAACGTTTGTAACCCCTTCTCGTACAAGTGTGCCGATGAGTCTTCAATTGTGGCATCATCGATTTTATCTATAGACAATATATCCAATTATTTGTAACTTTGATCGTCGGCCATCAAAACATCAAAACTGGTGGTCGGATGACTCGGATCTACTGTTTGATCATGCCTTTAAATACTGTCATTGAGCTTAAGGGCATTCTCCTTCAATGAGGTGCCTGCCATCGGAACAAGTCTCCAAATATCACTTTCGTTATCATACCCCTTCCCACATACGTTTCTAATCCTATACCGGTACATGAGTGCAATTCGACAGATATTTGCATAAATCGCCCGATTCCACGGGCATTAAAGATCGTATGACATGAAGAAACAAGTGGTCTGATGCCTAGCCTGTCAATACAAGGGCGCTCATTCCATCGTCAATTTCTGCACTAACGCAATTAACTCTTCCATTATAATCATGAATTTATTCCATACACTCTCTACTATCTTTCCCATGATCATATTTTCTTTACTTTTAAAATACATACTGTCTATTTCCCACCAGTTCTACTTCAGCATGGTCCACTCGCATTCTCAAAGTGATATAAAAGTGGCCATTGTAATCGGATCAGGGTTAGCTGGTTTGTCTGCCTCCTCCCAAATTCTTTCAAAAAGCCATGATATCGAAGTTCATCTCCTCGAACAAGCAGCTCGAACGGGAGGAAACAGCATAAAAGCCTCTTCTGGAATAAATGGCGCAAGAACATCGTTTCAACTTGCCTCGAATCCTCCCATTGTTGATAGCGTCGAGGCGTTTTACAATGATTCGATTGAATCAGCAGCGGAGGCTATGCGTGGCACTGGCGGTGGCGAAGCGGAGATAGATAAAAGGGAGCGTTTGATTCGGGTACTGAGTGAGGAGTCCAAGGGAGCTGTCGAATGGTTGGGCAGTAAGGGCGTTGATTTTAGTGTCGTTGCTCAATTAGGAGGACACAGTATTGCTAGGACGCATAGAGGAGGTGGAAAGTCTAAACCACCTGGAGCGGCTATTGTCGGTACTCTTTTAGAGGAACTGAAAGGAAACGGCAGATTTCATCTCAAGACTTCGTGCAGGGTAATCAGAGTTGTTAGGGACGATAAAAATGAAGATGTCAGGGGTGTGGAATGTATTTGTGATGATGAAAACATAGCACCGAAAACTGAAGTATTAATAGGGCCTCTGATCTTCGCAACCGGTGGGTTTGCAGGTGATGCATATGGGATCTTAGCACGATATCGACCGGATTTGTCCGGAATTCCCTCCACCAATGAACCACGCTCTGGGTCTCAAGAACTTCTCTCGAATATTGGGGCTGGACTTATCGACATGGAAAAAGTGCAGATCCATCCTACTGCTTTTGTGGATATGAACGATATCAACAATCCGACTAAATTCCTAGCAGCGGAAATGTTAAGGGGCGAGGGCGGTGTACTTTTGATGGGCGGGAGGAGATTCGTAGATGAATTAGAAACAAGAAAGATTATTACTGGGAAAATAATGGAAGTTGATGGAACTGTAAGGAGTGAGGGGCACCCAAAACAGTGGGATGTGAAGCTTGTGATTGATCAGGGGGTGTATGAGAAGGCAAAATCACATGTAGACTTTTATTTATGGAAGGGTTTGATGAGGAAATGTACTATTGCGGAAGAAATTCTTGGAGAAGATGCAGTAAGGGGGTTGCAGAGGTATGCAGACGCTGTAGCAAAGAGGTCGAAGGATGAGTTTGGTAGGAAATCTTTTGGATGCTGGAAATTGAATGAGGTGAAACCCGATTCGGTAATATACGTAGGAAATGTCACTCCGGCAATTCATTTTACGATGGGAGGGGTAAGGATTGATGAGCAAGCAAGGGTTTTGACTACAGAAGGGAACATAATCCCGGGAGTTTGGGCAGCAGGAGAAGTTACCGGAGGAATTCATGGGGATAATAGGCTGGGTGGCAGTTCATTATTGGAATGTGTTGTCTTTGGGAGGAAGGCTGGAGATGGTGTATTGAACTCATTGGGGGGTCCAATACAAGAGTAGTGATCGACGGTCTTGTAATCGCCTGGATATACCGGGGAGACGCGAGCGAGCAGCAAGGTAGTGTTCCCAAGTGTGCAGACTGTTTTCTAAGTTCAAAATGTGGGACTTCGGAACAATCAAACTGATTTAAGTGATAATTTGATTTTAGAGATTGGAAACCTCAAAATTGTTGAGTCTCTTTGAAATGATGTATTCATCGAAACTTAAATGAATGAAATAAAGTCTGAGATCGGATTGCAGTCCCGGATGCGAGATACAGTACAAATGAAATACCGTTGCGTTTCATTCAAATCGAGCCATGAATTTCCACTTCGTATCCAATGAAAGAAGACATGTAGAAAGAAAAGTAGAGAGAAAATCAACCTAAAGACATTGCGAATAATAAGCATTTGCATAAGTGCACGTATATGGGCCAGCACAAGTTGTACTACCCGTATATCCAGTCCCACCACATTGTCCATAATGTGCAACTCCAGTGGATCCAGGGGAGGTAATGGTAGTTGTGGTACCGGGGCTAGATGGAGTAGTTGTTGGGGACGTACCAGATGACGCGAGTTGTGCATTTACAAATGTTAAGGCTTGTTGACCATATTCAGTGCCGTAACCTTGATGAGTATTTGCATCAGAACCGTTGCAGCAGTACGGGTCAGCGGCGTCGCAATAAGACTTTATCTTTGAACCGGAAGGACAAGAAAATCCAGAGGGACGAGGTGCGAACTAAAAATAATCATTAAGACATTGTTCGCAGATACTCAAAGATATAAGTGTAATCACATAAGCAACATGGAAGGTATGAATTAAAAAACTTACTCCTTGAGCTTTACAGGTACCAACTTCATAGGAAAGTCCATAAATGTAGCGTGGGTTACCCATAAAAATTGCGGCCTTGATCATATTGACAGCGCTGGCTTGAATTGGAATCGCAGTATTCGTGAGTCCATTATTCGCATCTCCACCTCCACAGAAAGCATCATCCATTATTTGACCACCCTAATTTAAAAAATTAGTGTCAGATTACCAGATTTTGTCAATGGACAATGGAAATGACATGGCAAGAAAAGTTGATCTACCTGAGAATACCCCACCAAAACCAATTTAGTACTTGGGCATTGTGTATGATATGCATTTACTGCAGCTGCGACAGCAGAAACTCCTGCAACAACACTATTCCCATAGCTAATCCCACCACACGAAGATTGGCCCCCACACGCGGGATAACTGATGGATTCGGAAGTTGAACCAGGATGAGCGGCAAGGATGAGATTGACCACCACACCTGCTGTTCCATATCCAGCTGGTGCCGTGGTCTCTCTGGCACCAAAAACGTGGATTTCAGGACAGGTTGCGCGTGTGTCAAATTCAGAAGACAGAGCTGAAGCGTAGGCAAGGAGAGATATAAATACTGCTTTGAGAGTCGTGTGTGAGAGCATAATGAAGATTGGATGAGCAAAAGTACTAAAAGAAGGCCGTTGTTGATGTTATGTAGTAGATAGTGAGTGATACTTTGGATGAAGATTCGAAAACTAATGTCAAGTGCGGATGTGGATCTATTTAAAGACCAGTAAACTCATTATTATTCTTTGCAATGACATTGCCTCCTTTCCGCCGATTCATATTACCCATTACATTCAGCTTTTTGACCCATAATAGTGATCATACAAGAATCATGTCATCTCTGATCCGGGATTTGTTTTGACAACCGAATAAAGTACGATGTATTCATATAGATTGCCAAGTCCGTCTTAACATTTCAGGCTAAGAATTATGCGAACCTAAAACAGTAGAACAGAAGAGGGGAATGCATGAATGGAACTTACAGTTCAGACGATCCAAATTAATAAGAGAGAAATTTATGAGTGCTCTTTCAACCACGTGGGGCTAGCAGGGGACTGGGTATTGAGGCTGATATCCAATATGACAATACCGAATTTTGGCTAAACTCGTACAGCATGCACCCCAGATCACGATATTCTGGAAAGACATCTTGTCGGTTCTAGATCCCTTTACCCTCGAAAGTTTTTTAGTTTTTTTATATCCTTAAATCGAGATTACCTAATATTAGATTTTTATATCTAAACAAAATATAGAACATAACGTAGTTCATTAGCATGTAGGCTATATTAATATATAAACTACTTTCATCTTAATTTATATTTCTTTAATTTAATATGTAATATATCAATTATTCATTATGAAATTTAATAATAAAGAAGTTCAATTACTCTTAATTTTCAAGGTTATTTAAAAAGATGAAAAACTAAATCTGTAAAAAGTTATTAAGTTTTATAATATATTCTATATAATAGTTTAGTATAAAATAAATAATTTCGCTTTTTATATTAGAAATTAATAAATAGTTTATAATCTTATAATATTATAAAAACAAATTATTATTTAGTATAAAATTAATATAAATTCGAAATATTTTATATTTAAATATAAAAAGATGAAAAATATAGTTGATTATATTCTTGAATTGAGAGGTGTAAAGAGATTTGAGAAGTAATAGATATATTAATTTACAAAATATTATAAAGAATTAAAAATATTTTTAATTATGTTTATGATTTTTAAAGAGCTTTTTGTGAAAATCCTAAGTTTATTAACGAGTGGTTTCGATCTTTTTTGTATATTTAAGATAAATATAATATTTTCAATTATGATTTATAGAGCTTTAATGAAATAGGTTTTATAATGAAAATAAATAAACTTTAATAGGAATAAAATTATGTAATTAGGTGATTGAGAATGAGTAGTAGTTATTATATATAATAATAATATAGAAGATATTATACTTTTGTTTTTAGTAATTTAAGACTAGATATATCTTTCTAATTAATATATAGAAGTTAATTTACTTATAAATTGTGTAATTAAATTTAAAAGTAATGAGTGGTCGAATAATAAGATAGGTTTAGAATGACTGAAATTTTTTAATAAATATATATTTAATTGAAGAAAGGGTAAATACTAAATATTAGTATTAAATAGATATGAAAGTTATGAATTCGTATTAATTTAATTTATAATGTAAAAAGATTAAATTAAATAACTGAAAAAGCCTTTAACTAAAAGAGTTTATGTAGAATCATTTCTACGTGATAATAATATAAAAGAATAAATAATAAATCTTATTTAGAATATTAAATAAAAGTTTTGTAGGAAATTTTAATTTGTATTTTGATTATTAGAAATAAATCAAATATATGTATAAAAGAATAAAAGAGTTTAGTTTTATAATTATATTTTGATATATTGTATTTATAAAAGTGAGTAATATATAATAAAATGAGTATTATTGAATATTATCAATTAAAATTAATAGATAATATAAATTTAATGAAATATAAATTTAATTATATTGTTAGGGTTCTATAGTAGGGAGGCAATATATCGAGTAAACTCTGAATGATTTAATAGATACAAAGTAATAAATATACTAAAATATATTTATTACTAATCATATTCTCTAATTAAATTCGAATATATATTGAACTATATATATTATCAATTTAGACTCTATAACTTTATGATTTCTATATATCTTTTTATTATAATATTTATACTTAATATTATAAATAATAGAATTCCTTCTAATTTATATTAAACTAATGTTACAACGGATTAGTAACAGGCTGTAGAAATCACCAACTTATAGGCTATAATGGTATTATAGGCCTCAGTGATTCAGCTGCAGTATACCGGGGGACACTAGGCATCCAAGGAAATCCTCAGGCATGTATATAGTATTAGTCATAGGATACCCTAGAAACCTAGAACATAGTTCCCAGGACAGTAGGTCCTAGGAAAGACAGAACACAGTAAGCAAGAAGGCTTCACTAAGATTAGTAATGTCCCAGGGGATTAAACTCCAGGACAAAAGGACAAGCTAGGACAATAGGAATCACGGGACAAGTGTCATGTGATCAAAAGCCGATCGACTTATCGATCGACTTGCCGGTCGACTTGTCGGTCGACTTCAGAACGAAGGTCTATATAGGGAATGGGTTTCATTACAATGTAGAGCTTCGTGCTCAAGAACAATCATTAGTTTCATTACTATAGTTACGAGAATTGCAACCAGTTACAACCTTATTGAATTCCTACTTGAAGTCTAGTCTAAACCACCTCGAGAGATCTCTAGACACTTCCACGTGACCCTAGAGGCAGCTCCCGTAACAATTAAATCAAAACTTAAAATAAGTAAAGACAAGGTTAAGGTAATATTCGAATAAAAGTAATCAATTATAATTAAGAAAATACAATCCTTTTTAGGATTTATTAATTTCTATAAAAGACTTATTAAGGATTATTTAGGAATTATTATATTCTTAATTATATTGATTAAAAAGGATTAAAAAAGTTTCAAATAGATTATTAAGGCATAAAAGTCATTTAATATATTCAAAAAAGTAATAATAAAAGAGTTAATATTGTTAATATTCGATTTTGAAAAGCAAATTATTATAAAGATAGATTCCTTAGATTTTATTATAGGGGTAATTCTAAGCTAATTAAATCAAAATAAGAAATAATAATTAATTGTATTCTATTTTTGAAAACTATTATTAATCAAATTGAATTATAAAATATATAATAAAGAATTATTGATAATAGTTGATATATTTAAAGAATAACAAGTTTATTTGAAAGAATTAAAATATTTAGTATAAATATATATAGATTATAAGAATTTGGTTTACTTTATTATAATGAAGTAGTTAAATAGATGATAGGTTAGATGGTTGAAGATTATGGTTAATTATAATTTTAAGATTTTATATATTAAAGAATCAGAAAACATTAGGGTTGATGTTTTTAACTGAAAACTAGAATACTAAGAAAATAAGTTGTACGAATTATATATAATATTTAAGAAAAAAAACAAATTACTAGTTTATAATATACTATAACTTGTAGTAATATATTTATTGAAAGATAATCATTTTAGAAAACAGATTTAATTATATTATAATAAAAATACTATTATTACATATATACATAAGATAATAGAACTAGAATTCACTATAGAAAATAATATTATATATTTTCATGAAAAAGTATATATTCTAAATTAAATAATTAAGGAATTTATAATAGAACAATATAAATTGTTAGTATATAGATATCAAGAGAAGAAATTGTTGAAAGTTATAATATTTATATATAAAACAAATCATTATGATATACTCTGTATGATTAGCTTTAGATCTTAAATATACCTTTTCAGTTATAAAAGTCTATTACATAGAACTTTATAATTAAATTATTATTCTTAAAAGATTCTATTATAAAAGTTGAATATAATGTAATACTTAATATAATAGATAGGATAATGAAATTTATATATATAATATTATTCAAGAAAATATAGGATATTAAGTAATTAGTATATATATTTTTTAAGATTATAATAAATATATATAAAGTATTAGATAAGATAATCTCAAATCGAAATAAGCTTTTTACCTCGAAATTCTGGATTATTTTATTAATACTTATAAATATTAAAAGAAAGCTATTAATATCTTTCTATCTATAAATAGATGGTCAAATAGAAAGGACTAATTAGATAATAAAAGTATATCTTAAATACTATATAAATTATCAACAAAACAATTAAATAGAATTATTATCTATGACATAATTTGTATATAATATATCGAAAACGGAAACTATAAAAATCACTTTAATACAAGCTAATTTTGAATTTAATCTATAAGCTTATAAAATCCTAATACTATAAGAAATTAATACCGAATTAGTAATAATATAAGTCGAATAACTAAAAGATTTCTAAGAGCAATTAGCTTTTAATTTAAGATTTATATTTTCCAGAATAGTAATGTATTATAATATGAAATATAATATAAAACCTATATTTAAAAAGAGGGATAAAGTTTATTTGCTACAATATAATATTGAAACCAAGAGATCAAGTAATAAACTCAACCATAGGAAACAAGAATTATTTAAGATTAATAAGGTAATAAGAATAATTAATTATTAATTGAAATTACCAGATATAATAAATATTCATTTAATATTCTATATATCCTTGCTCGAATTAGTACTATTAAAAGCATTAAATGTACTATTTATAGAAATTGAATTAGTTAATCTAGAAGTTATATATAATATAAAAATAATATTAGATTGTAAATATATTAGAGGCAAAGTCAAATATTTAATTAAATGATTGGATTACTTATATTTGGAAAACATATAGGAATTTAAAAAGATGTTACGACGGCATCCAACATACCGCGTCACATGACATAAATTACACGTGATGGAGCGTCAAGGAGCTTCAGCGCTCCTGGAGCGCGTTGCGATCCTTAACGATCCAACATATAGGAGAGGTCCTAGGGACCAGGAGAGAGAACGAAGGTCTATATAAGGGAATGGGTTTCATTACAATGTAGAGCTTCGTGCTCAAGAACAATCATTAGTTTCATTACTATAGTTACGAGAATTGCAACCAGTTACCAACC